CATTCTTAGACATTTGCCGCCACCGAAGTAGATTGAGCAATTTGGGGTTAAGTGTCTTACCCAAAGACACAGTGAATATGTTGCTGCAGGAGCTGGGGATTGGACCCCCAATCTTCCAGTTGAGAGACAACTGACTCTACCAACAGTTGCTCTAAGAGACCATGAGTGGGCACCAAAGCGCACCAAACTGAAAACCTACATATTGTTTCTTTAATTTAAGGATAATGTTCTCCATGTACCACTGGATGCATTCTTAATGCCTCCTTTATTTCTCACTTAACAACTTGACCTTGTAGAGCTCTAAAACTTCAAACTTTAGGTTATTTTTTGGGGCGGCAGTAGCTCAGTCTGTAGGGACTTGGTTTGGGAACCGGAGGGTCGCCGGTCCAGGACGGGTGCGGACAAAATATGGAAGTTGGTCTGGTAGCTGGAGAGGTGCCAGATCACCTCCTGAGCACTGCCGAGGTGCCCTTGAGCAAGGCACCAAAATCCCCTCCCCACCATCAGCTCAGGAGCGCCCACTGTGGGCCGCTCCGTCACTCTGGCTTCTCTCCATTAGTGCATGTCCATATGATCCTGTTTGTGTGCATGTGTGTGTTCATGACTTACAGAGTGTAAAAACTGAAATTTCCCCTTGTGGGGATCAATAAAAGTAAATCTAATCTAATCTTTCAAAAATATACTCAAGGATTGTTATTCAGTCTGATACTGTTCATTTGCAAAGGAGACACTGCACTTTATTTTAATTGGCTGACTCAAAATACAATACATTTTTATTGATTGAACAAGATGTGTTCAAGCTGCAATACCAGCAGTCTGAATCAGACATTAAAGCAACTCAGGACCAAGCTTTAAATATAATCCAAAGTGCATCCACTCTTTTTTCAGTACATGAGTGATCTGATGTATGATTGTTACGGTTACATGAAGAACATGGAACAGACAGAGGGGAAAGACTGGCGGGAGGGTCAATTTCCTAAAACACAAACAGAAAGAACAGGTTCTTTTGGCAAAAAAAAATCTGCTATGCCATAGAAACAATATATGCAATTGTCACTGCGTGTCTTTGTTTTGGTGGCTTTTCTAGCATAGTGTATCAAGTCAATTCAGTGGTAAATGGACTACTTGTTTTGTAGCACTTTGTTAGTCTTCTGAACACTAAAAGCGCTATTACACTTTACATCACATTCACACATTAACTCATACACTGATGGTAGAAGATGCTATGTAAAGTACCTATCACTTGTAATATCCTCCATACACATTCACAATCACACATCACTGCAGGAGCAATTTGGGGTGTGGTGCCTTGCTCGAGTACACCGAGATGTTTTGACTGGTATCAAACAGCCAACCTTCCTGTTGCGAGACGACCGACTCTACAACAGAGCCACCACTGCCCTATAGACAAGAATCAGTATCCTGCTTAGTATGTTATCTGAAGAAGAATAAATGACTGTATAGTGCTTGCATATTTTACACAGAACAGTCTCCAAGTCCATACGTCCTAAAGATACAGAAAGACAGATCATTAGATAACAACACAAAGTAGAACGTGAAACCTGGGTAGTGGTACAGCAGTGGCCAGTAGAAGTCAGGTTACAAATCCCTTTTACAAGAACTTCACTAACAGATGCTTTCTCCAGACTAAATATAGTTTTTAAAAATTAGCTCAGTTTCTGCTCTTTCAGACGGAGGAGGTAGAGGACTCGTGGAGGGAGACAATTATGAAACCCTGTAGATGATGGCTGCACCTGTTAGGTGACATGTAAATAGATGACTTATGACTCAACAGTCTAAGGACCTTTTTACCATTGCAAAGTTGTGCACATATATAAGGATGAGTTTCAATGTTCAGTTATATCATTTAAAACTAATTATCATATTTGATTGACTCTTTTTATTCTTTGTATGTATTTTGTAAGATAACTGGGTAGTCTTACTGACTTTGGGTTGTTAGTGATAGTGAAGAGAATGTAAAAAGTTTAATGGAAAGATGTGAGTACCTCAAATTCACATGTTGATTGAAAGTACAGAACTAGTTTTTCAAGCTTTGAAGTTTGAGTAAACCAAAATAGAAAGTTACCGGCTAATAGAACAAATCCAGTACCTGATAGTTACTAATAAAAAAGGTCAGATGATAATGACTGGTTCATCACAAGAGATACCCCTCACATACAACTGCCCAAGAACTTAGACCTAGTGTGTGTTTTCAGTGGCTATGTTCACACGTAGAGGGGTTATGTTTAAAAAAGTTTTTTTTTTACCATCGGCTATCATGTCAGTGGAATTGTTTAAAATGTCTTTTGATACTGCATTTGTATGCAGAGACAGGTGGATTTATTTAAAAAATTGAAAGATAACAAAGCGTGAAATGGTCAGCATGACAGTAAATAATAAGAGATGGAACAAGCTGGGGGGTAATGGAATAGTTTGGTCTGTTAGTCAGGTTATTCCATACTGTCAGCAGCATGTGATTTAGAGGTAGAGGGGTGAATGAGGAGTTGTAATGAGATAACCAGTGGAAATTAGTGATCCAAACTGTATTAAGACCTGAAAATGAGTTAAGCTGGAACTCTGATGGGCTGAGAGTCACACCAATACTACTCTCTAATGCAGCTGCTTCCTCTACTGTGATCTAAATGAACATGTTTCTCACCGTGACCAGACTTAACTCCACATTAATAAAATGTATGTTTTGGCAGGCCAAACAATTGTTTCCTCTTTGACTTAAATTGCATCCCTACTTTTGTCTTTGATGCCTCTACAAATAAAGCAGTTCTATCATATCTTCATATATAATTGTTTTGAAGCATTATCCCTTGTTTCAGAGGGGAGCACCATGGCATTATATGAGCAGTTTCTGAGATAGCTGACACCAGTGTAGGAGGACTTCCAAGCTGTGGTGGCTTGTGTGGTATTTTCATAATGTTTAAGGTTTGACTCAACTACGGTTTCCCGTCAACAAACAGACTGTAGCTCAGTCCATCCCAACCACCTGGGGATTCCCGGATCAAAGCTCTGAATCATTCCTTTTATATCCACTGCCCGCTTTAATGTGTTTTTTGGTTTTTGAGCATGTGATTACCCTTCATAACAAAGTGTTTTTTCTTTGATCATCTCTTTAGTTAAACGTATGTGACAGCTTTTCTGTGTGCTTTTTTCCCATTCATTTTAATTCACACCTCTATATCGCAACTTTTAAAACAACAAAAGTCACAGTGATCACACTGTGTAAAGTGTTAGTGTGTTAGAACACAGAGAAAAGAGAAGTTCAGTGTAAGCTTTCCTTCAATCTCTATCGTTGTTGTCCACATTTAAAAAATTAGACACTGCTGTCTGTCATACTGGCAGCATTTCAGTAGAAGGTTTAATGAAGTGGCTCAATGAATTCCCTCCATCTTCTTGGTGTTTCTCTTTCTTGGTCCAACAGCAAGGTCACTGTATTGAACTCTTTAGTGTGACTAAGAAACTTGAAGAATCTTAAAAAGTATTCCAAATGTGTTTATTGAATGAATTCCTTGTTTGCAAAAGTACTAAAGAGCGTAAAAAGAATTCTGCTTCCTGACCCACTGCAGTAGCAGGACTGAGTCTGATTGGCTCACACATGTATAGGCTGCCACTGGAGGGAAAAGTGAGAGAGGAGGATGAGATCAGTGGAAGAGAGCAGGGTGATGATGACGTGGATCTTGTCATTTCCAGTGTCCCCTCTCAGGGGTCTTGCCCACAGCTCACCAGTGTTTGGACAAGCCAAAAGACAGGAAATAGATGTGACAACGCGCTTCAGCTGTGCAAAGCGTTTTTCACTCCACAGTTGTTGAAACAAAGACCTCTGCTTCTGATGACTCTCTGGCTGGAGCTGAGAAACGCTTGGAAGGGGCCCAACAGTTTCACCAAAGCTGCAGCAAGCTTTTGTTTTGATGGCTGTTTAGGAGGGGAACTACAAACTATTTCCTAAAAAATGTTGTAAAATTTAATCAACAGTCCTCAGACAGTATAACCATGAATACATTTAAGTTAAGCAATAACAGGATTGTAACTTGTAAATATTTCCATTGCAGTTAATGTATATATTCCCGTTTTTATTAATGGTCAAAACTATCATAAAATATTTCAAAATGTCTTTATGAATTCTATTTGATTTATGACCTGAACACTTGATTAATTTCTAATATTATTATTTTATAAACTGACTTTTGGACTACAAGCTTAAGACAATTGTTTTTGTTCAGGACACTTTTAAGGATTGCAGTATGTGTTGCTTATATATATATATATGTGTATTTATTATCATGTTCATCTTAGCATTTTTTTTGCACGACTCACCACTGCACTATTGTCTTATTTAGCCTTGTATATATTAGTGTTTTTTTGTTGTTGCTTATATTACGTTTTATTTTTAACTTTGTTCATTGAGAGCACAGTTACTGAAGACAAATTCTGTGTGTGTGTAAGCATACATACATGACCAATAAAGCTGATTCTGATTCTTATTTTGTCCAACTCTGTTAGCATTTTGGTATATAACTTGACTATTTGTCTTTTTTTTTTAAGTGACATCACATGGACGCATCATGCCCCCTCTCAGTATATATTCCTCTCTGCACAATTGTGAACATAAGAGCGGTTATGATTCACTTCTGATTCACTTTTTTTTTCCTTTCAAAGAGCAGTTGCATATTACTGCAGCTTTATGCAATTCACTGTCATATCCCTTGCAGCCTTTTAGAATGAGCCATGGAGACTGATTACTGTTCTGTCATTACCACATGAAAAGGATGGCTTTCAGTAGAAACAGTAATAGTTAATCTGTTATGATTAACATAACCCTATTAGTTCACTGGGATGAGGAATTATGTAGGATGAAGGAATATTTTAATTTGGAGTGACTCATAATTTTCTTTACATCTTCCCTCCCTCTGTCTCTTATCACTGTGCCTCACTCTTTTCTCTCTCTCTCTCTCTCTCTCTCTCTCTCTCTCTCTCTCTCTCCTTTCCAGCCTCAGGCTTGTGATGGAACTGGCCCGGCTCTTCATCCAGCCCCTCTAACATCACACTGTGTCACACAGCCATCACATCCTCTCCCTTCTGTGCCCGTCCCATGGAGAATGCACGCCCTCCCAGATAGGATGCCTTCCCTGTCCGACGCTCTGCATATCCTCCTGCCCATCACCACCTCCTCCTTCTCCTCGTGTGTACCTGCTATCACCAACAGTTCCCTGCGGCCCCCGGGGCTCCGACCCGCAGCTCTCCAACATGGTGGATGAGGTAACCACCATGAAGGATGATGTCATCAACGCCAACACGCTGGCTTGGCTGGTCTGCTCAGGCGTGTCCATCCTTGCCAACACATGGAGCATCCTCAGCGTCAGTGCCAAGCAGAAAAAGTGGAAACCACTGGAGTTCCTCATTTGCACACTGGCAGGCACACACATCCTCAACATGGCCATCCCAATCACAATGTACTGTGTGATAACGCTGCGACGCCAGCACTCCAACTACGAGTGGAATGAGGGGCTCTGCAAGGTGTTTGTCTCCACCTTCTACACTCTCACACTGGTCACATGCTTCTCTGTAACCTCGCTCTCTTATCACCGCATGTGGATGGTACGCTGGCCTGTGAACTACAGGTAAGAAAAGGGTCTGTTAAAGCTTGTTCAGAACATCCTGTTATCAGAGGTTACATTTCATCCACATTGCAAACTTGCCATGTAGAATCTGTCAAGAAACAGAAATATTAGTCTGGATGATCCAAAAACTTATCAGTGTAAAAAGTTGAATTGAACTTCTTTCTGATTAGGAAATATTCAAATAAACTCTTAGGCTAAATACAACACAGAGATTCTAATTGAAGTGGAACCAAATCCTTCACGTGTCGACATATTTTTTTTTACATTTTAGAACTATTGACTGTAGGTAAAGGAACATCAGTCGGTAATGTTTAACATGCCAGAGACTAATGTAACTGAAATTTAAATCCCTTTTTGTAGATCAAGTTTTTAGAGTTTTGATTTTTTTGACCATCCACTCTCCGATTTGTCTTAGATTTTTCTTAGATTCTACCAAAGCCACCATGTAAAATAATCTGATATGTAAACTCTTAATGGCACTTTAGCTGCATGCCCGAGTAAATCCTTCAGATGTGATGGTGTTTTGCTATTTAGCAATGTATCAATATTTAGCAATACATTAAGTATGAGAGGGATACTCAGCATCAAGTCCTGCACATCAGCTTGTTGCTGTTATTTGTGGTATCACCATGTTGATCCATCCAGACTGAGCATCTGCTAATCTAAATTTGGCTCCTCACGACAAGTGATATTACCAAGTAACGCTGAATAATAAAGATCAGATTCAACTCATTAACAGTCAGCTCTCTGCTGCAGTAACACCATGTTGGTCTTGTTAGACTCCCAGGACGTCTTCTCTTAACACATAATCTGATGTTCAGAGCAAGACTGCTGCTTACTTTAAAAAATTGTACTTGTACTTTGAAATGTTGTTTATTCACCAAAATGTTGGTGTTTCTCTTGAAACTTTGTTGAATTGCTTTGATTTCTACATTTGACACTCATTTCTGATACCTAAATAAGGGATTTTGTTTTTATAATATTGGTATTTCTTCTTTGATGAAAGGATAATGGAAGCTGTAAATGATAATATCTGAGAGGTGAAAAAAAACTAAAGGTAAATTGATCACATTAAATAATTATAATATTATTATATTATAATCTTTTTTTTGTATTTTGCAGCTGACGAGCATCACACCCTGAAAAATACCTCATAAATCATTTGCTATTATTTTGGAATTCAACACAGAACAATCATGCAGATGACTGCATTTCTAGAGCAAATCCTGTGGCAAGCACAAGTGGAGCACAGGCGAAATGTGTCTTAATTTCTGCACAGTACAAACAACCTACTATGTGGGTGAAGGAAATTCTGCAGAAACTGGTACTTTCAAACATGTTGTGAAGATGAGTATTCTGTTGCATTGTTCTTCCTCTCCTTCAAACAAACATAGCATGTTTGCACTCCCTGTGGCATTAGGCCTACAGATGCTCAACCTGCAGTCAGCTTGGCCAATTTTGCAGATAAGCAGACATTCAAATAAGACATGCAAACCTGCATCTTAATCTGTGCTCAATCTTGCTATCTATACTGCTTGTGCAGCTGTCTTTATTGGACGTTGCCATGTAGAGATATCAGGCTTTGCACAAATGCTTTTATCTACCTCGTCTGCTCTCTCTCTCTCTCTCTCTCGTCTGACCACCTTCTCTCATATCTTCTGTCTGGAAACATTGACTTTCCTCTCAGCATCTCCTATTCTTGTCACTTTTGACAACGATATGGCGGTGTAATAGCTCAAGCCATGCACTGTGTAATAGCTGTTCATCTTCCATTTAAATCGCTCCACTTTTGCCTGCCGAGGTAGCATGGCTGCCTTGTCCATGACATTAACACACACTGAAAGCCTGAATTATGAATTCCAACCTTGTACTTCGGCAGCTGTTCTCATCACCCTGCGCTCATCGTCTTTTAGGAGCTTTTCCCTGGCAAAGCTCTCGCTCTGGTAATAGAGTCCAGCAGCTTTGTGACGTAATTACCCCATCACATGCACCCCAGGGCACATTCAGGAAAGGCTAGCATAATTATTCACAATGACAACAACACCTACTTGTCTTTGCACAGAGTACTCCCCCATGTGAGCCACTATGCATGGAAGCTAATACATTATTGGTTTAAATATATTTGTGACTCATGTGAGGGAAACATTCTATATCTAGCTCCTCTAGAGGACCTTGATGAGAGGAAGAAGAGGATAGGCTACATGTGCTCTGGTTCTCTTTAGGGAGACGGATTGACTTTCTTGCCAAATCGGCTCCTTGACAACTGAGGGTCAACAGAGAATCTTCTGTATTCCTTCACAGCTAAATGAAAGAGATGAAAATGAATTGCTGTGCTGAAGGTATAACACAATTGAAAGTCTCAAAGACCATGTAATTACTGTGTCTATACTTTCTACAGGAGGCTTAAGTGGTAGATATCTGACTGTTTTATTTTTTGCTGATATGTTGTTAAGTTCAGAAGTACTTTTGTAACAAATCTTTTGGCAGGAAAGGGCAGACTTTCTTCAGGTTTGAGAACACCAGTAACTGCTTGCCATATTTTTTTAGATGTACGTGCTTTGTTGCAAATCATGAGAAGTGCCACACAATCAGAGGACAATGAACAAACTGCTCAATTGTAACAATTACTTGAAGGTGAGAGGAAATAGAAATCCCTCCGTGCTGAAATAGACCTAGATGACAAATAGAGCAAAGCATTGATTTTCCTCCATTCACCTCAAGTTTGTCTAGGTGATGACTATTTGGGAAGGAGCTTTTTTCTATGTTATGTTCCAGATACAGATGTGCCGTTTGTGGTATTTAGAGCATTTTACCATATAGGTCTAGTTTGTACATGATGCTTTTTTTGGGAGGGGGGCTTTTTATGACTTTATTGTACAGATAGGACAGTGGACAGTGTAGGAAATCGGGGAAAGAGAGTGGGGAATGACATGAGGGGATGGAGCCTCAGGACGGATTTGAACCTGGGGCGCCTGCTTCAAGGGCTACAGCCACTTTACATGGGTCGCAAAAACTAACCGCTAGTCCACCGGCGCCTCGACATGTTGCTATTTGCTTTGCTTTTTTCACCATTAGGCTCCTCCAATGAAAAAAAGAAGAACAATCAGACCTTCCTTTAGTGCCTGTTTTGTTTTTTATACACTGCAAGCAAGTGGAATGACAGAATTAATAGAATGAATAGAATTAACTGTGCTGAAAATACATTAGGGGTTAAAGGGGTTAATTAACTGGTTAAAGCTTTTGAAACATAATAAAATAGCATTCAGTACTGTTTGTGGTAAAGACCAACCTAGTAATATCATGACTTTTCAGATTCAACAGTTCCGGTGTAGGTCCAGCACCTAAAACTCTAATTAGCATTAGAAAAATGCAATGCTTGACAATAATTTGACTTAATAATCTGTATTTCTGCTTCCAGGTTGAGTAACACCAAGAAGCAGGCGGTGCACACAGTGATGGGCATCTGGATGGTCTCCTTCATCCTGTCCACACTTCCAGCAGTTGGTTGGCACGACACCATTGATCGCTTCTACACCTCTGACTGCCGATTCATTGTGACAGAGATCGGGCTGGGTTTCGGTGTGTGCTTTCTGCTGCTGATCGGGGGAAGTGTGGCCATGGGTGTGATCTGCATCGGCATTGCCCTCTTCCAGACCTTCTCTATTCAGGCGGGACACAAAGCTGACAAGAACAAGTTCAATGTCCCAACCATAGTGGTGGAGGACGCTCAGGGGAAGCGCAGATCATCTATTGATGGATCAGAGCCTCTCAAAACATCACTGCAGATCACCTACCTGATAAGTGGTATCGTTTTCATCTACGACTTCCTGACTGGCTTCCCCATATTGGTGAGTTAACCTAAACCTAAATGCTTAAAAATAATCATCAAGCTGTTAAAAGGTCTGACTGATTTGTCAAAAGACATTCCATTTGGCAAGTGTAAGTGGGCATATCTGCAGACTGAGCGTGAGGGAATTACCCATAGTTCATAACTTTGTGACGTGAAAAATAGGATTCCCTGGGGAAGCCTCCAAGAATGAAAGGGTAAAGAAACACTATAAAATCGGAAATGAATAAAAATATGAGAGAGAAGCAGGAGGGTGAAACCATCATTAAAGCTTAAAAATAAGAAGTTTGCCTGAAATACTGCCATGGTGTTTTATCATCATCTATGCCTTTTGTTCTATAGACTGCAGTTTGTAACGCTCTTTATATCTTCTACCTAAAAACTATATTGGGAAACTAAAGCTGTCGAGCCTGGAGCACTCAATCACTTTCCAGGTGGCGTCAATTAAGTCCTTAAGGGCTCAGGGCTCACTGTTTAGGGAGGAAATTGAGATTCAGCCAATACGACAGTGAGGTCAGACATTTTTTTTTTTTTTTTACCTCTGCATCACTCTCTTGAGGTAAGGAAGGTGGCGTGAGTTGGTCAGGGTAAAAATGGAAACTCATGAGAAGAGAACGGTCTGAGGGTGGAGTGTTTCTGCTGTAGCATGTGTAACCATACCGAGCTGTTTTATTATTTACATAAACTGAAATGTCTCTTCTCATCTGTGGCTGTAAGTAGGTCAGGCTATGTTTGTTGTGTGTGTGTCTGTCTGAATGTGTATAGCAGCTATTGTGTTTGAGTGGGGTGACATTATAATCTGTCTGTAATACTTACAATAAGAGAAATGTTGGAAATCCAAAACAGAGAAATCCAAACAGTCCTGTGTCTTGCTGTTCCTCTACATATTCACTCTACTGTCTCTATGGAGCCGTGGGCTTTAGGATGTGCGTGTTACTTCCCTCTTCATACAAGGGAACCTGATTCTTCAAGTGCACTATGACTGACTGAAGGACGGAGCTGTCTTAGTGTGTTGCCATTTGGTTTGCAAATTTCCCCTTCAGGTTCTCATCCATCTTTTAACAAGTCAATTCATTGGTTTTTTCATGCTCACTTGAGAGCCAGTAGAATGCTCAAGGTGTAACTTTCGTCATGCAGCCAAAACAGCCATCCTGTCATCTTAAAAGAATGCCACCAAAGTAGGGTATTGTCCTCTGTAAGTAAAATGCCCTTTGACAGTTTTTTTTTTCTTTTCAAGGGAAGAACCTTCTGTTCATGTTTAGGCCGTGTGGATAGTGAGAACTACTGAATCACACTCAAGCGAAAGGTCTATCACTCCATTATTTCTTACTGGGAGAACATTGTTCATCAAAGTACCTCAGCTTCACTCTATATTTATATATTTTACATTAGAAAGATTTTTTAAAATAAGCATTGTTCATTAGCTTCTGTAAGGCAAGCCTATAAGAAACAAAGCACCTTGTTTTGCACACATGTAAAGCAGAAATCTGAAACATTAACCAGGAAAGGAAGTCTTACTAAAACTCCTTTTTAAGTTCATCGTATATTGGGCCTTGAAGTCACGCTTCCTCTTTACTATAGAATTACAAAAATCTCCTGCATCTTTTCAACATGTGCTCACCAAGAGAAGAGTACTAAACATGCCTTACAAAACATTCCCTCTAAAAAACAGTCCCCCTTTTAACAAGCTGAGAATAAACATTGTGTTTTTTTTAATAGCATAATAAGATCATACTCTAAAAAGCTTCTTTTACTCATTGAGAAACATACTGGTTTGCAAGGATTTAGCTGTTGCCCTTCAATGTGTATTTTACTTGTAAGTTTTAAACCTAAAAAAACGTATGTCTTTCAATTAGAGTTCAAAGTCAAATATCTATTACTGTCATTTCACAAGCTGTCAGTTGATATGTAAAGACAACAGTAGCATTTTATGCAGTAGGGGTGTTGTAATTAATCGTTTCAACGATGCATCAGAATGCAGACGTGGTAGTTTCTGCATCGATGCACTAACAGAATATAAGCCATTATTGAATACTGATGTTGTTGGTAGATTTTGCGGTCGCAGCTGGACCTTTATAATTTATTTATTTTGGTAAAACATTTTGACATTGTTTCTTTAAAGCACTCTCTAAATAAAAACATAATTAATATTTATCGGACTGCTTTTCTTCATTGATGAGAAAGTAGGCATGTGCAGCAATATAGAAGACTGAGGATGAAACTTGTTGTGATCTGATGCATCGTCACAGCTCTAATTTGCCCACACATACAGAAAACAGAGAGGGTAGTGCACTGTAGTACTGATGAAAGCTCTTATTTCCAGTGGAGAGCCATAAAAAACAAAAAGGCTGCTAGCCCTCGTTATAACCTGATGTAATTAGCTATTTAAATGCATTGAAAGCTGTCACACACATACAGATACTGGGGAATAGATGAAAAGAACAAAATAGAATCACCACTGAGGGAAAACTTGTCATCTTTAAAAGTGGCCACCACATATTTCTTAATAGAAGAAATTATACTGAGGCAACAATAACCCTGATTTTAAAACTCGTTTACGTCACTGCCAATGCAAAAAAGACTCATATTAAAGATCATGCAGGTCATAAATGTCACTTTTCTATCACCTTGTAATTGGTTTATGGGCTTGTGTTTATGAGAGTTTATACCCAGAGTGTTACTGCTTTCTAAAGAATAAGATATGATCCTTTCAATGGGAAATCCATCAGCAACAGAATAATAATGTTGTGTGATGTGTCACCAACTTGTTCTGATGCCAGAATGAGTGAGAAATGCTAGATGTGTAAATATTATGCTCTTTAGATGTAAGCATGTTAAAAATCAGTAGGTGAAGGATACTGATGGAAAAAAAGAAAATATATCTTGTGGTTTTCTTCCCTCCCCCCTCCTTGGTTTGGCTGGCAGTTTGAGCTTGCCAGCTCAGTGGCCAAAAAGATCAATATCAGTTTGAGACTTCGAGACTTCATCAAGTCACAAAGGAATGCTGCTGCTGTTTTTGGTGATCAAGGTGTGAACAGAAGAAATTATGAGCTTGAGTTAATTGACTGATCAGTGTCTTGGCTAGGTGCATTACAGTTGAGGATTAGACACTGAACCTGACAACTTTAATAATCAGATATTGCACCATGTTGCTATAATCAGGTAGTCTAGGTATTAATGCTAGTGATGTAGAAAAAGAATCATGAGCAACACCGAGGTCCCCTTTGAAAATTTCTCCATAACAAATGTTATCTCGAGACACTTTTCAAAAAGAGCAGGTCTAGACCCAACATTAGCAAAGTTACATTAGGAAGGAAAGACTTCCTTTAAGAGGCAGAAACCATGAGCAGAACCAGACTCATGTTGAACAGCTATCTACCAAACTGTGTTGGGGTTGGACAGCGGGATTGAGAGAGATGCAGAAAGCAACAACAATAATGATCATAATCTGATGCAATGTCCAATAATCCAGTGGCTATCCATCTGCATCATACAAGTCAGAGAACACAATTACATAACATCAGATTAAGTCTTTTTTTCATCCTCCATGACAACCTTTACATAAAGCTTTTAAGCAAAGATCTCGTACACATTCAGAAACCCTGTCAAGCTGTCTACTGAGAGCACTTTAACTTCAATATAAGTAAAAAATGATGTGAAGGAAACACTAGATCTGGTGTCTTAGATCTACAGAGTTCAGAGTTTAAAAATTCAGTTAGTTCCTGTTTCCAAGTCTAAGGGTGTCTTAGCGAAGTTATTTTGTGCCCTTAGCATTACAAGAGGTAGAATCCCTGTGTTTAGCCCATGAAATTGCAGAGAACGCACAGAACTTTTGTATGAATCGGTTTGGTCCCACAGAGACCAGAAACATGGCACATATACCTACACATATTTACTCATGAACTGTATCAATGATTCTATCTGCCCGTGGAATATGCCTTATGTCTCTCAGTAAGTAATCAAAGATTTGTTCATACATCATGAGAACTGATTATGGGTTTTTTTCTATCGTCTTCCTGCCCAGGTGGTGAGCTTTGCCAGTCTAAAGTTCGACCGCTCCTACAACTGGATGGTGTTGTGTGTGCTGTGGTGCTCCATCGTCCAGTCCATCCTACTGCCCATGTTCCTCTGGGCTTGTGACCGCTATCGGGCCGACATCCGCATGGTGTGGGAGAAGTGTGTGGCTATCATGTCCAACGATGATGTGGATGAGGGTAAGCCACTGTCAGCTGTCGCCCCCCCTTCCTGTCCCATTTTGTCCTTCTCTGCACATGATGTGAACATGCAAGATGATTCCTATATCCAAAGACAGCTCAGTGTGAACAAGATAATAGTCATTATGGAAGATTTTTGGTTTATTTGGCACAGTTTTGCATTGATGCTCTAAAATTAAATTGCAGCTTATCTTTCTGATTTTGAAATGTTCAAAGTGACAGTCAAATACTAAACAATGATTCTCTAAATTTAAGGTTTGGACCAAGAGAATTGTTTGTGTTGAGAGGTGTTCTGAACTCTCTTTGGCCGTAGGAATTATTGTGACAAATGTGATTTATCAACCTGCATAGGTTTTTCTCTTAGCTGAGGTAGTTGGGAAATTAAAAGGAACATGTTGTAGGAAGGAGAAAGAGGTTAGTATCAAGGTTAAGAAAAATAACAGCTTTAGTTTATTACATGATGTTTGAGTTCCACCTCCAGATACTGTAGTGTCACTTCTGTGATGAATGATCAACATATTTGCATTGATTTTAGCATTAGCGTTATATTTCACAATCAATGTTTTTATTTATTTATGTGTTATATTCCTGTGATCATTAAACAGTAAGTTTGTCACAGGAATTTTGTACAATTATCATTAAAGTCAGTTAGCATTCAAAACTTTTCTTTGACAAGAAACAGAAAGTTTTCTGAATGTTGCAGAGTAGAAGAATATAATGATTGAATAGCTTGTCTCAGAGTGTTGCCTCTGGTGCTGTCAAATCACAGCATGTGACTTCAAGAGTATTATGTACATGAGCAGCATGGTAACAATTCTGTAGCCAACGCAGCTCATTGTGCACTCATCTTGCTGGGGTTTGGACAGAGGTGCTCTTCAACCAGCTGAGGAGGGGTTATCAGGAAGTTCTCAGAATGTTTCATAACCACTTTCTAGTTGTTTCATTACCAAATGATGGTTTTTGGTGAAGTATCACTTGTGAGAGGGGCAGGCTGATTTTGTGAGAGTAGACTCACTAACTGTAAGCTGTCACTCTCATTTGTTGACAAGAATCATAGGTTTAAGGAGCTAGCAAATGAAAAATAATTATTATACCTCTCATTTGTGAATATATGAAAACATCTATGTTAGTCTCATTGATCTTAGCCAGTGCCTAGTCTTTGCCACGTTTGGGCGAACTATTACAGAGTAATAAATACCTTTTTACTATAACAATCCTGATTCTTGCTGAATAAACAGGTTTCTTTAACAAAGTTTAATAGTCTATAATGGTCATTATAACATACATTATAAATAATTGGCTGAGGTTTGAAATCAGTGGTCAAATGTTATCATGTGACCTATCATTTGACCTTTCAGGAGATGAGACTGAAGTGACAAGTGTCTGTGTTGCATAACTCTAAAGTAGAACATACTGTGTTAATTCTTTCTTTGGTGTCTGCTTTGTGAAATGCTTTACTTTTCCTCGCTATAAGATTTATGTTATAACAATGAGAACAGGAAAGAAATGTTGCTGGACAAATTTATTTTTTTCTGGCAGCACTTTTTTTCACTCGGATGCATTTAAAATGTGCAATCTTCCTCTCGAATGCCCTGTCATTTGAGGATGATAAAAGAAATGGTTATCCATTTATTTGTAAGGATCTAGAGTGAAACGGGAACAATTGCGGTAAAAAAGCACTTCCATGTCAGTATGATGGTCATATTTCCCTCAGGTCACAAGGGAATCTACCCTAGTTTTTTAAAACATAAAATGAAATTAGGTGAAAAAAATGTGTTTCCTTTTTAGTATTTCATTTTTTTTTTATTGGAATTTATTTTCTTCTTTTTTTGGGGGTGGGGGGGATGTCAAAAGTGTGCAGTTTAAGTCAGTCAGATCTTGATAAACAGCATTTAGTAGACATTAACTGATAAAAGAGAAAGAAAGTGGTCCAAGACTTGTAATTTTTATCACAGAAATATGAAACATTTTAGCGGAATCACAGACACTTCAATATTTGGTCCAAAATTAGGTCACATGATAATCATAGAGAGGCTCATGGATCCATGACCACATCACAATAATAAATAAATTCATGCAAACTGATGACAGTATGAACCATCTGTCTTTTTTTTTTCTATTTGGCACTGTTTTAACTCAACCCAATCTGAACCCTTCTCTCCTCTGTCTAACCCTCCAAACCTTCTGATTCTCTCCCTCTTTGCACCCTTCACTGATAACTGCTCGTTATCCAACAGGAGCCATAAAACAACAGGGCAAGACACATTCTGTGTGACGATTAATGCTGCCAGTTCTCTGCTTTTTTTTTTCCAGAGGGCTTGCCATGTATAACTCATCACAGTTGTATGTATAAGGATTGTTTCCTTTTTTCCCCTGAAGCCACTGACTTGCATGCCAAGCTGCCTGTGCAAAAAAAAAAAGCAACTTTCATTTTCCATCTTTTTGGCCAACATTTTTTTCCAGATCAGCATTTTACACCCATCTCCAATTGATCTTTAAGGAACATGAATGCAGTGATTGGGAGAACAAACTTGGTTGATGGGTATTAAAGTAAACTTTTTGATTTTTATTGATTTTCTTGAGAATGTAAGCTCTGGATATTCAAAGATTCTTTATGCAGCTATTTGGTGTAGTTTCTGAGTTTAGCATCAATATGAGCCATTTTTTTCTTCTAGTTAAGTATTTGATTCGACCCTTTAGAAATTGATCCTTTTTCGATCCAAACCACTTATTCATGAGCAGACCTGTAGGGTGAGTCAACCTATCGGAGAACAATTGAATTTGTCTCTCTTATCTATTCGTCTGTCTGTCTGTCTGTCTTGTGTATTGAGTCCGTTGCTCTCTAATCCTGACGCTCGTGCTTTTCTGCACTTTGCAGAAGACAGCCAAGATGGAGGAATACATGCCGACTTATTAAATGACAGACCATATGACTATAGCTCGTCGCCTGAAATCGTGACGGTAGACCGTAATGCCAAGTATGAGTTCTCAACCTTAGAAAGGGGGGTTCTGCAAGGGTATCCATTGAGGGAACAACAGGAAGATAAAATGCAGTATTTGCAGGTATATTTTCATTAATTTCCTTCATTTCTTTTAATTGATCAATTGAACTATTTTCATTACACTTCATTGCTTATGTGCATGGTGAACTAGCCCTGTGGGTCTTTACAATATCTTGCTTGAATTTGATGGAATCATCAGGTCGTTTTGTGATGCTATTTCTCCCAATTTTTTCTTTTTTATTACTTAAACTATAAAAATATACACTAGTTGACTAATGTTTGGTAAATATGACCATCAACAGTCCCAAAAACATATTAAATGATTTTCATTTAATGCCACGTGTGTCCAGTCCATGGACCTACATGTAATAGACTACATTTCTATTTTGTTTGAGGGTTATTGTTTCGTAGCTGAATTAGTTTTTACCTTTCAGGAATCCTTCAAGATTTCAGAATTGCAATTCAAAGATCTGCTCATGTTCTACCAAATCCCAGTCTACTGCAGAGCTATAAAAAAAGCTACCCATTTAACCTTCATCAAATACACAATTTGTTAAAACATGAACTTATTATAGGAAAAATAAAACAAACCTTCTGTTCTGCTTTGGTTCCAATTCTGACTTGACAAACACTGGCCCTTCAACAAGAATAGGATGAACATTATTGATTAAAGTATCCATGATGATGATGATGATGATGATGATGATAATCTTGCTGGACTTGGCCTGCAAGACTGTGGTGAGGATATGTGTGTACACAATCAATAAAATGCAACCCAATCAATTTGAATTTTACAAAATATCTGTTTACTGTGACATCTTTGTGAGAAACAACAAAGCAAGGGCTTCAATTTCCTTAGCAGCCAAATTTTGTATCAAATATATATATATTTTTTTTTAAATTGGTATAAAACCTCAGATGTCCAAAATATTAAGGATACTTCAAATACCATCAGATTTTTAAGAAGCCATGAAACAGAGATGTATACAGTAGCTTTCATTTTATTAGACCATCACTCCATCCATTGCTTTTATGTCTGATACACCTCATCATTTGACAATGGATTCATTGATCATAAAGCAGTTTTTAGCTGTGCTTGTCCTTTTGTTGTATATGTGTGACGGTGAAATAAATATGGGTGCGCTTTTGATTTGAGTAAAAGGGAGACTTGCTGAGATGTGACACAGTCAGGTTGTTTTTGTCACTGCTCGAAGGGTTAAAGCTCAATTAGATCATAAATCAACAATCCTCTTTATTAACGATCAAATGGCACCTTCACTTGAGAAGTGATGTCACTTCTCAAGTAGTTTGATAACAAAATAAAGCCTCTTTGGCTTTATGGCTTTTTGTGACGTGTGTTTGTCTCTTTCTCCCTCTCGCTCTGTCTTTCCTGCTAATACTGTCCTGCATCTTAATGCATTGTAATGCTTGTGCTGCCCTCTGCTGTTTAGTCCTCCCACCTTACACACACAGTGCTACTGTATCATCTCTCATTTATCTGCATTACTAAAAGCTACCACAGTGGGGCAGGCTGATATCAATCTTGTGGCACTTGACGTCACCTTGACAAACCCTCTCTCTCTTGCATAGTTGTCAGAACAGAATGGAATGTGAGTATAACATGTAGAGAACTGTCAAAGTTTTTACAGTTTTTGTCTCCAGATAATGGAGATGAATACTAGTGCAGATGTAACACTGTTTAACCCTGTTGCATGTTATAAGGTTAAGAAATTAGATGCGTAAGAGATTCTCAAAGGCCAAAAATATTGTATGACATGTGTGACATGTAGGATTTTAACATGACAACTAAATGAGGATACCAAACGTTTGAGGTCATCTAAAACCAAAATGTTTCCAGTATTGAGGAAATTGCAAGAAAGTTTTCACTGAACTATATGTTAAACCAAATATTTGCACAAAGCAGTTCATTGGGACGACTGCAAATCAGTTATTACAAAATTGCAGTGTACTGTAAACCTTAAAAAAATCCTACATGTAAGACTCTTTATTATTGATTACAAAGGTGTATGAACTAAAACAATGTTTTACACTTGTTTAATGTGTTTACTTATTTTGAATTGCGGTAGAATAATTGGTGAATAAATAAATGTCAAAGTTACTGATAGACTGAAGGCTTTGGTATGTGTGTTGCATTCAGGTGCCCCCTACAAGAAGATACTCCCACGACGAAACCGACATGTGGACCAGCGACCGGATCCCCTCATACCTACACAGATGGGGCTCCACCGAGGACATGATAGTGAGTGCCCACTACAGCTCCACCTTGCCGCGCCACGAGAGGCGCAGGAGCAGCCTGGTCTCTTACCACGAGGAGACCCACCATCACCATCATCATCATCATCATCATCATCCCCCACACCGCAAGCGGCGACGCTCTGAGGATAGCGTGCACTCCCTCAAACACCTGCCGCGCGTGGTTTGTGGTGGGGAGCGCTACGAGGATGAGCTGCGGTGTTTCAGCCGCGATGAGGTGATAAACTTTATAGATGAGACACCGCTGCCAAGTCCCAGGAAGAGCCCGCGGCGCACATCCACCATCTCACTTATCCCCAATGTGTATGAACAGCCCACAGTCATCCTTCCTTACTTCCCCCTCACAGACTTTGAGCATGAGCCTCAAGCACTCAGGCGGCTCTCTGAACACAAAAGAAGCAGCAGTAGTCGGGGAAACACGCCTGAGGGTACCCCCAAACCAGACAGACCTGACTTCAAAAAGAGCCCCGGGGAATGCGGCTCCGCTAAAAGCTGCCAGGAGCGCTCACGAGACAGGAAACGGCAGTGTGAGGCGGGCACACCTGGATGCAGCCGTCAGACTCTGGGGCATTTTCCCTGCAGGCCCAGGACAGGTGGGGGGGCGGGTGCAGGTGCAGGTGCTGACTGGGTGAATCAGAGGCACCAGAGCAAGGCAGAGGGCAAAGGAAGCATAAACAGTTTTGTAAGCACACCGTCGGCATCCTCCTCGGGGTACATGACCTTTCACTCTGACTCTGTTGGCTCTACCACATAGAAGTTCACATCTTTTGTTAGTATCAGCAGTATGACTTAAGGTATACTAACAGAATCCTGGTGGTTACAGAAAAGTAACGTACTGGATTATTTGGCCTTTTTAATAGTGCCAATATTTGGTTTGAGGTATACCACAATTTAAATTCTTAATGTAGGCTTTGAAAAGGTTGGATGGACATCAAGAAAAATCCGCTGAGGACACTTTTTTCTGCAGCACTGGCACAAATAAACCGTTTTTTAACGGTCTGAACAATCCCACTCCTTATTTTTGCTGTTTGAAGTTCTTTCTTATGAAATGTTGAAAGAATTGTCAGAGGCAGTTGTAATGGTGGTGCTTTTTTTTCCATTTTGTTCCAGATAAGGTTTATAACATAAAGCTGTATTTAATTTGGCCTTTACTGTCTCTGTGTTTTGCGGTATGAACACATTTGCTTTAAACCAAACTTTCCTGAATACTACCCATGTACCTTTGAGATTAACTTCAGGATATGACATATTATACATATTTATTTCATTTTGATCACAGTATAAAAGTTTTCTATTAACATTGTAATTAGTGACACATTTGAAGCGTTTTCTTTTTTTTTAGAGTGCCCTATGTTTAAGTGAATGAGAGATATAATCCCTATGCCTCATAGTTTTACAGTTACTGTGTGAGATACAATGTGAAGGCCCCCTAATTCTTAATGCAAATGTGAAGTATTCTTTCAAAGATTGGCATGTCATGTATATATGAAGGATATTGGCTTCATGGTTTAATTGTTTTTTTTAATGTTTATGAACACCTTTGTTAAGAACACTTCCTCACAGTTTTTTCTCATTATAATGTTTTGTGTTAACTTTGGTGATCATCAGAAACAACAGTTGATCCCAACATTCACACAGCCTATAATGGTGATTAATCCTCATTCAATCCGCATGTCAGCCTGATCTCACCTCTTATGTGTTCCATTAATGTGTTAAAAAACAGATACCAACATGTCAAGTGGTCAAAAAATTTGAGTGATTACAGCCTTCATAGATGTAGCATAACTCTAAATGCTGGTATTGTCATTTATCCCACAGAAATGTTGGCTCAAATGAGATGAACGATGATCTAAGACTTCTGAAGGTCCTTTGGAGAGTTTTCTTAACAACTGAGTGACTTTTTATAATGCCTGATTATCAAAAACGTATAGTCAAGATATATAAAATGTAGGCACCCACAGAGCTTTAGACAGGGATGTTGTGGGAAAAGCAGAGTTTATTTTCATTCTTTTCCACATTATTTAAAAAAAAATGTCACTTGGCACTCTCAGAAATTGGCGCTGATGTTAACATTTCAATCAAGCCAACTTTTCAAGGCCACTCTTAACCAAAACACTTTTCATGTTTAACAAATTGGACAATTTGCTGACCAAAATAAAGTGATGAAATGTCATGCACTGGTAGCAGAAGGCGCTGGGCTTTTGCCTCTCTTAATTGAAGATTAGTTGCAAACATAAATTGAACTAATTAGAAGTTTTTCAAAAAGTGACAGACTATATCTAATAAGAAAAAATCCCCTTAAACCTTATCGTTGATCAATTTCTTTGCTACTACCTCCCATTTAATAAACTTGCATATACTCTTCCCATCACTGTCAGTCATTTAAATGTTGAGTTTTAATTCTCATGTGTAAGTGTACCTCTCACTCATTGCAACATATTCCGTTGAATAAATGAAGTAACATGTATTTTTCTTTGGAATCATTTGATTTCCCTGTCAAACTTCGCTATGTCATGCAGTTTTGCACTTTTGTGTTAACAATATTGAAATACAATTTGTAATATATTCAAAGATCAATTATTTAAATATGAAAGATGTTAGGTGTTATGATTTTCTTGTTTAAATGATGAATTTGTTTTAAAAAAAAGATATGACTGATTAAATTCACAAGATGATGCTTCAAGGTGTGTTTTTACAAATGTTGTTATAGATGCTGTTTGTTTGTTTGTTACTGTTGTTGGTTTATTGTCAAGCATAATTAGCAGCATTTTTTATTCTCAGTGCTCAACAATGTTTTATTCCCCAGAGTTGGAGTGCAACACGATGGCCATACCAAAGAAAGACTTTTCTGCTCGTTGTCCTGGCCACACAAAACAGAGGGAGAGGTTTCTCGACCAAAGTCTGGTATTTTCCATTTTGATAGATGCAGATTGATCAGTCAGTTGGAAATCCTTACCTTTGGAAGAAAAAAACAATAACACATGCGTCCTCTCACACTGATGGAGGCCCAACTCATCATCGACAACACTAGAACTGGAAAAATAAAATAAACCGAACTACTGTTTCATTGGTTATAATGTTTACAAACACACACACACAACACAAGCACACGCACGCGCGCTCACACACTTGTCTACACAGGTTGAGCTTTATGCTGGCCTAATAAACGACCTTCCGAATAGCCTATACACGCAGCCTCGCCAACAATAGCGTATAGGACAACCAAATATCCGCTAATCTATGTTGCTATTGCCTATCTTTATATTTTCTTTAGACATTTCTAGTTTTTACTCCGAACAATAACTTTTTCTTGTAAATGTGGTTTAACTATAATTGACAAGGTTAGAATTAGCTCTCATGTAGGCCTACCTGTATGAAAATAGTTCGGTTCAGTTCAGACCTTTATTGTCCCTGGAAGGGAGATTTGATTTACAGCAGTGTACACAAAACACAACAGATAAACAGACATAGGACAGTGGAACACAACCTGATGTAATACAACCACGAAATGTAAAAAATGTCACTGTTCGTTAAAAGTGCTATAGCTCTGATTGAAAGTGCAGTCAATGATTCAAAGAAGATTAAGAGCATTAATTGCACGAGGAACATGTGAAAATGTGTATCTGTTGGCTTTAGCTCCAGCCTGTACCTTCAACCAGAGGTCTTACAATTTGTCTGTTCCAGATATCTGACAAGGGAAGCCTGCTCTTCCCTAATCAAGTGGCTAATTCCTCTCAAAATTAAAAAAAAACAAAAAAAAAAACATAGGCTTCTTACATTTTCATTAAACTACATTTTGTCATGGTAACAAAAACCTTTAATCTTTCATCAGCACATTGAGCACAAGGCAATAATTTTCAATAGCCTAATAGCGGCTTCGCCTATACGGATCATTTCAGTAAATCTCAGTTTAGACCTAAAATGCAGTGCGGGCATGATTTTAGGAATTTAAGAAGCACTTTGGTCTTCTGGTGCTTCTCTCGTCAGCAGAGTTTGTTTTGCAGACATGGTTGATCTTTATGGAGAGGTCACCCGCAAGAGAGAGCTTGGACATGGATGCTTCCACGTGCCAAAGGGTAATTCAACGGTGTGCTACAGGTGTAGAAAAAGTCTGCAATCAAAAGGCCAGTCCCATTGTAAACGGTTCACGCTTAATTCTATGGGTGAGCCACAGACTGTAAGCTATGGTGTAATTGCACAAATCACTTCGTCCCTGTGTCCCCTTTTTTGCTCAGTTTTTTTTCCAGTGCGTATTGAGCACATTTAGCAGTACAACGAGATGCAGAGAGCGCAGGTCTGAAACGCTCTTCACCCTCGTCTGCTCTTTTAAGAGCGCATGACTGGACCCAGTCTAATGCTAATGACTTCTCCTCTCCCTCCTCCGCTTCTCAGCTCTAATGTGCGTTTCTATTATAGTGGCAAACCAAACTAGCTCACTTAAACAATGCTGAGAAGAGTTCATAGAAATTCTTAGAAAAAGTTTAAGGGCATTCAGTGTGGAAGTCACGCGGCAGCTCTTTTCTTGGATAAAACAAACTTTTCTTGTGCTCTGGGCCTCTGTTCGTTTCATCAAAAGAGCAGCTTTGACTTTGCGGCAAAGGGAGCATTAAGAAGATTTACTGACGGCTTTTGAGAGCTGACCAGTCCCAGCAAAAAAAACAAAAACGGATAGAACAAACACTTGCCATATAAGGCTTGAAGCCGTGAGTTTAGCTGTCATTTAAGGGGAAAAGTACTTGAACGAGACAGTATGGAGGGTTCAGGAGCAGCGTCTTTTCAACAGGAACCATCTGAAAGGGCTATGGGCGTTTCTGCGATTCTCCTCGCTGTAGGTGCCATCCTCTCCATTGCTGCTCCTTCAGGATGGATAGACACTTTATGACATCCCTGCCACAGCAGCGGAAGAAAGCTATAGGGCGCCGTAAAAGGAACTGATTTGTTGACTGGTTTGCTGTGTTGCTCATATGGCTTTTTATTATTCCAATCACTGTAGTGCAATGAGCCTATTCAGTGTAATAAATTAAGATGTTCAGATTCTACGTGAGTACAGTAACTAACACTACTGTTCACACGGCATTTGTTTTAAATCAGTCTCCCCAATTTGTATTCAAACTTAATTTTCATCATTTGTTGTTTCAAATTCAGGTTTGCAAAATAGTTAATTATAATCATTTTACTGCGGTAATCTGTGTTGGTTCTTTAACTTCCAGAAAAAAAGATGAATGAGAGATTTTATTTGAATTAAATAAGAATTCAAATTTGGCCTTTACTTGTACAAATTATAACTCGAACTCCAATGAGAGCTAAATAGACTTAAGAAACGACGTAAGAAAGAGTTTACATTTGTCAGAGTGTAGGCTAAAGAAACGTCTTTTAGCATTATTGTGAGGTGGAGTTGTTTCTACAGTGTTTCATTATGCGGAATTTCTATGTCAATCCAAAAAGACAGCATGGCGTGAAATTAGCAGTTTATAGCAGAAAATTGTTGTGCTGTCCGACAAGCATCTGATTTGCCCGCCACTGTTTCGGTACTTATGCGTGAAACCAGAGAAGAATGGAGGAGACAGTCAAGGCCCACTCTCTTGGATCGTATGTGTCTTACTCGACAATATTTAATTGTGCATTAAGTCTATGTAGGCTAGTGGCTACTGCAAAAGCACGACCTCAGTGTCCATAGCCAATGGCTATCTCACGTTTAATGCCATTAGGCCTACGCATAACCTACTTCTGATTCCTTACATTTGTTGTTACACAATAGAAAAAAGGCCCCTGTCCTTTATAGCTTGTAAGGCCAGTTTATTGTGGATGGACCTTGATAAATTTTACCTCTGGACGACCGTTTCAAAGCCTATGAAACAAATAATCAATGCATCGCTCAAAGATGTCCTTTCTGACCATTTCTCTCTTTAAATAATAACGACATCAGTCAATACATGCTAATATCAGCATGTCTGACTCCATTTTAACGAAAAGGAAAAAGTCTTTACCAAGTTTTCACAAGCACAACACCACGTTTTCTCTTTTTGCTTATTTTATTAAGAAAAATAAAAACATATACAATATATAGGCTAGAAAAAAACACTTTTTGTAGAAATCTATACAGTGCAGTTGTAAACATTAAATTTAACTATAATATCTATAAAGAGTTTTTTCGTCAGTTCTACCAAGGCCGCCAGACCTTTTCCTCAGTTTTTGCAGCTTCATTCATGTGATACGTGGAGTGCAGCTTCTTTTCGTGAGTATTTTGTGAGGGAGCCGTCACACAGACAGCCTGTTTGGTAACAGGTGGCTGCTGTGCGTCTGTACTTGGTAAACGTGGAGTCGTGATCGCTATGTGGTGTTTCGGAGCTTTGCATGGGACCATTTGTCTGTCCTTAGGTCTAGCTGCAGATGGAAGATGCCTCCGCGCCTCTTCTGGTGCCCCCGCCTGGCCCGGGCCGCTGTCCATGGTGCTGAATATTTCCTCACGCACCCTGGATTGGCACACTTTACTGGAAAGCTGCGATAACATCCAGCGGTCGTTCCCGTTTAAATTGTCTGCCATCATCAGATATTGGTTGACGTTTGCCATGCAACTACGGAATCCCGCTTGGTAATCTGAAAACTCGGAAGCGGAGGCAGTGCCTGAAAGCCAAACAGAGACATTTGGGTAAGACACAATAAAGCTTATAGTCTGAGCCATAGTTAAAATCATCTCAAGTCAACAGAGTTCTTGAGTATTTGATATTAATTGAATGTGTGAGGTTATATCGTACAGCTCTGAATCTTCTGCAGGTTCCTGAGATGTTTCACAGTGAGCTCCAGGATGTCAGCCTTTTCCAGTTTGCGCTTTCGAATCTGTATAAGGAGAATTTTATTTACTATATATTTATTGTTAAAAAAATCTTGACAAGTAATTACTAACTCAAAAATCATTGCAACAGTTTGATAATAGATAACTTACACTGCTGCTGTAGTAGCTTTCCAGAAGAGTTTTTAACTGGTCCAAGCATTTGTTTATGCGCGCTCGTCGTTTCTTCTCCATCACAGGTTTGGATACCTATAAAAAAAAACATACAAATTAATATTTAATAAAACACTGCAGTTATTCAGATTTGAATTGTGTGCTTCCAGCCACGGTTTCTCTGAAAGAATTAGTCAACACACCTTGTTTCCAGATATGGTTTTGGACTTTTCTTCGCAGTCTGTCGTCGCCACCATCCTGTTGTTTTTATAGCTTCCCTGACGTTAATCACTTCTCTCTCAGGCACACGAATGGAGGAATGTCCTTGAGTGGATTTATATAGAGGCTCCCACTTAACATCTCAATGCCACTAAAGTCCCGCCTGTCTCTTGCGCTCAAATGAGCAACACTGGCGTCATCTGACAGCCAAAACCCACCAAAGGCTTAAAGAGGGGCCAAAGAGGAGAGGATCATTTAAAGATATCTATCTATCTATCTATCTATCTATCTATCTATCTATCTATCTTTTGTGGTTGGGGAAATATGATGAAATGTGTTAATATTCGTCCTGTTTTGTGTTGTTGACTCCAAAACTATTTTGTGATCTGCTTAGATTGTGATGAAATAAGTTGTTACTGAGGACTCACTAGTGGGCTGTGAGTGGATGTATCGGGCTGCAGATATTTGGACTAAAGTTTGAAACACAAACACAGACCACATATGTGCACAGTTACACTGCGTAAGGAGATGACATACTGAAGAAACAACGTGTGGGGCAAACAAACTAGGAGAAGCGTAAAAATCAGAAACATAATGGGCAATCACTAAGGTTCTACTTGTGAGCATGGTGTGGGTACTATTGACTCGTGTATTCAATCTTTTCTATGTCAGTTTCACGCCACAAGGTTGAAGGCAGCACCGTGGTAATTCCCTGCGTGTCCCAAAACATTTCGATTTTCTGGTGGTCACTTGTTGTAAAAGTGTTACACCTAGAAATAGTGAGGCCTCCTTCATGTTACCTGCTTTTTAAACCGAAAGTATAGGTATGCCTCTGCTCATAAAAAAATAAATCCCGAAAAATGTGAGTGCAATGTAGAAAAGATTTTTTTAAATCTTAAGAGCTCAGGACTCTTTGGCTTTTGTGCGTCGCCAGTTTTTGTCTTCATACCAGGCGCGATGAGGCACCGAGGAGAATCGTGGGCCGCCCCTTGTCCTTGGTCCCTCGCCTCCCGATTTTCCACACTGCTCTCTGAAAGGGGCGAAGGCTTGGGAAAGTCATACCAGCTGAAACAATGTATTGACTATTGGCGCACCGTAGTCCGATGCGCATCTTGTGCTCGCAAACAGGCCATCTGACTATACTAAATGGGAGTGAATGAAAGTGTAGTAACCGTCTAATGGAATGTTGGACTGTAGCTCTGTTATTAAGAGATAGTCTCAATATAACCATTGTGTCCAATTAACTTAATAGAGGTTTCATTTGGAGTTGTTTTAGAATGTTCAGTTGTTGGAGATATTGCGTTTTGAAAGACACGCGACACAGCTGAGGAAATCTTTATAAACATCTCTAGATTTACCAAGTTTTGTTGCCTTATCCGGAACACAATGTGTGTTCAAATTACTGAGGACCTGGGTAAAGGAGGCGCATTCGTATTCAGTCTGAGGAAAGGGCGCATGGAAAGAGGTCCGTTTATTGTTGCGCGCCATTGATCTTTTCTTCTTACCTGCTTTGTGACTACAAACGTGTGGGCATCAAAAGGTTCCCTCTATTCCTAAAGTGAGCCAGAGAAGCCGGTTTACTTTCCTCTTATTTCGTTTACCTGAGATAGGAGACTCTCTGTACAATCTGCTGGAGCATGCCAACAGCTTTTTTTCTTTTTAATTGAGAGCATGATATTAGCTGGTTTTCTCAAAATTCTAAAATGTATTCATTTCTCCAATGATGATGCTGGATTGACCTCACAGACTGAATCCAGTTTTCATGTCCACGCTCTGGTATTTCAAACGGACTACAGACTCAGGCATGTCAGAGTTGTTAGAGGACACTAATGCGTAAAATGTACCGTGCGGAACATAAATGTGGTGCTATATACTGAGACATTTAATTGGTATGAAATTTGGCCGAGCTGTGCTGGTTGTAAGTGTGCTCTCTGGTGTCTATTGTCCTCTTTGGACGCCACATTATCTGCCTTTTCACGGCTGCTTTAAACGCGGGACCGTGGAGCGCTGATTTCAGCATGAAGTCGTGGCATCACAACAGTCGCCTGTGATGTTATTCTGTGCCACAGTGTAGACATTTCACCGTTGATTATTCGGTGTAATGTCAATTAGTGTTTTCTCTCTGGGGTCAAAACGGGGAAAGAGGTCTTTCGAAGCAGAAGGAGGAGCATGGCATTATTGTAGAATGAGATCCTTGTAAGGTATAATTCTGTAGAGGATTTTTTTCTGTTGAAAAAAATAAGATAATTTACATAATGAATGGTTAACGTAGTCTACTTGATTTATATTTGAATTGCGTTCTGCCACTCAAATTAGAAAAATAAACGTGTGACATGTTGCACTCTGTTACTGATGATGAAGTTTTGGCGGAGTGATTTTATTTTAAAAACAGTGAAGTGATAAATCATAGGTGTTGTAGGTGCAGCTGTCCTTCGACTGAAATAGGCATTACGTGTGTAGGCTACACATACACAGCAGAGGTTGCCCCTCTACTCTTCCTTTACCTACATCCCAAAGGTAATTATGTAGGCTAAAGCTCTATATCCATTTTAGTTTAAGGTAAGTCAACCTAATAGGCCTGTAATGAGTTATTTCTAAGCGTTACATGGCGTGAATGTGTTACAGTATAATAGCCTACTTGTCTGCAGTGAAGGAATGCGCTTTAAAACAGTTTCCCTCCATTTCATCAATCCATAAGAATAGCGCACTGAGAAACCTGTGTCCTCAGTGGAAATAATAATGCAAGTGCCATTAAATTACAAGTTAAGTGTATGTTTATGAAAGGGCTCGGGCTCTCCCTCCACTTTCACTTTTTCAGCCCCAGGTCATTCATTAACCCTTTCGGACCTTTGTTATGGATGCCGGCCGGTGGGGACCTGACAATGCTGCTGTAATAATTGGACTATTGGGGAACTTGTTAACAACAATTAGTGAAGCAATTATGCAATTACTGCAATAAACTATTTTCTTCCTCAAGGCAAACTGAGACATTTGCAAGCCAATGTTAAGGCGGGCACCCAAACAGTAGGACTAGTAGTTCAATGGTGGTCTACATTTCCCATTAACTCTGAAGAAAAGATTATGTGAATCGAACTATGTATATGAAGACTTGAAATATAGTCTACTAAATTCAGACAAAATGCAAACTTGTGTGATAATGTTTTAATCTTACGGCACACGTGAAAAACAATGCCATGACATTATGCATTTGGATTAGACAAACATCACACAGTTTTTATTAACAAAATAGTTCATAAAAAAAAAACTAACGTGGTGTTTACTGTCTATTTTAGGCTTTTGAATATTACGCTTTTCATATCTGAGTGAATAAATAACGCAGTTAAAATAGGCTATACAAAGTCAGGCCAACAATTTGGCGCACCGTGAGCGGAGCAAATCGATTCACCGCCTTCCATTGACATGGATTCGAGGCAGCGCTGGTGTGACCAAAAGCTCTTTGAGAAAGACAAGGTCACAGTAAAAAAAAAAAAAAGCAGGTACATGGACAGGTGCACTGGAAAAATATAAGGAAATACAGACGGGATTTTCTGAAAGCCACGCGACAGACCTGTTGTAGGAGCTCTGATCAAATAGATCAAATAGAAATAGCATCATGAATTTCTATAGACTGGTCATTGGGTTATTTAAAGACTTCTTACTTTGGTTGCGGAACACAATGGCTGCTGTCTGCCTGTGTGTGCCGGGGTGACCGCATGAAAAGGCCAGGGGTGCACATTAACATCGCTTAAGGTTTTCTCAAGAGCCGAATGAACTGGCTGGAAAGTAACTTTATAACTCGATGGAGGATGAAGCCTTTGTCAAGCTCTGGACAGAGAGACACAAGTGCCTAACAAAAGGGGAGCGCCATTGTTAAACACTAAAGCGCATGGGTATTGATGCGCCTTGAATTACAAAACATCTGCCATTTACTCTGAACCACTTGAGCAAGATTTGAATGAGAATAACCAAACACCCTCTGGTGCACTGTATTTAGTCGTGCGTAAAACAACAGTTAGCCTACCACGAATATGACCAACGTAGAAATAAAGCGTTTTGTTCGAGATTAACAGTAGAAAACCGAGTAAAATGATTCTGCTGTTCATCTGTTGAGGCATACATTAATTGTTTATCGAAATTGCTAGGTTGTAAAGTTTCAGTTTCTCGGTTTGAAACGTAATCCTCTCAAACCGTATTCCAGCTCATGGTCTTTTACTTTCTGTTTGACGTATTTATGCCTATGGAGTACAGATTGATTCCTTTTAGTCAGATCCACTTCTTATGCACAACGCCTGGCTTTGTAAATTAAACCTACAGATAGTTTTGAACAAAAGCACGAGGACTAAAAATTAACTGACACTTGTTGTAATTGCAGAAGTGGTCCTGCATTCATTTGGTCTAATCTCTATTCTCTGGGTAAATCATTACCCTTATATTCTTAAAAAGGGGACAAAGGGCCTTTTGGCGTTGACGCAAATAACTGTGTCTTACTGTAAACATAATAACTGATAAGTAAATGTTGTCATCCGACCAATGAGGGCTGATTGAAGATACGGAAAACAATTGACTTGATCTATCAAAACCAGCATCCCTGCAGACGAGAGAAGTGGTTCTAAAGAAGACCATTTAAAGACAAATCCCATATGGCCACCAAACGTAAATGGCCACCACTTAAAGTCGTTTTGTTTTTTCTTGGCAGCAAAAAGAAGGACCAGTTGCTGGTCTAAGTTTTTTTCCCAGGGTTTTTTCTTTATCTGACCAGAGTGGAAAATTGAAAGGTACAAGTGAAAAGACACGGGGCGTTCCACCGATTTTCCTCGCTCTATATTTTGTTAAACAGAAATATGTGACTTCTCGGAGGCAACGTTGCCTCAATCGACTTGAACAATTTTACAATTAATTAGCGATAAAACTAAACAAAATGTATTAGAGTTTATTTATTTATTTTTTTTATTTTTTTTTTACAATTTTACAAAAATGCGTTAGACTAGGTCTTAGAGAGCTTCGCTGCTCCGTACGTTGAGAAATTCTGACGTTATAACAATTTAAATAACTTATAATATAACTTAAAAATAAGTG